GTTGATAGAGAATGTTCCAGAAATTATTTTAATTATATACATCAGTTGTTTTAAACCTTCCTAATGCTGTGACCCTTTAATAAAGTTCCTCATGTTTTGGTAATCCCCAACGATAAAATTATTTTTGTTGTTACCTCATAACTTTAATTTTACTACCAGTATGAATTATAAAGTAAATAGCTGATATGCAGGATATCTGATATGCGACTCCCAAAGGAGTTATGACCCACAGGTTGGGAACCACTGCTTTATATATTCTAAAAGTTAGGCAAAGAGAGGCAATAATTACAATTCTCAACTCAGTTTTCAGATACAAAAACAGCACTGCGATTTAAAATACATTAGATAAATTCATGATAGTTTAGATATTACAAAAGAAAACACTAGTGAACATGGAGGTGCCACACAAAAAAAGTGGCTAAAATAAAAGACAAAGAGAAAAAAGAAATTAAAGAAAGGAACAACAGTGAACTATATGAAACACTGTCCAATGGTATGACGACACAAAAAAAAAAAAGTCTGCAGACCTTAGAGCTGAAAAAATCCCAGATGTGATACCAATTCTAATGCTGCAGCTCAAGAACCTTAAGGAAATTTCAAGGCAAACATATGAAGGATATACTAGAATATAATCATTAAACTATGAAAACCAGTAATAAATGAAAAAATATAAAGAGTAAGGGGTAAAGGGAGGTAAAAGATGATTAATAAGGAGCAACCAAAGCAAGGAACTGCTGTCTTATCAAGAACATTCAAGGAAGAAGAGAGTGTGCAATGGCTTTCATGAAATGAAAGAAAAATAAAATTGCCAAGCCAAAAGTATGTGCAGCAAAAATACTACTCACAACTAAATATAAAACAAAGATGTTTTCAAACCTGGATGCTAAAAGCATTTATGACCAATACATCCAAAACAAGAATTGTTAAAGAATGCGCTCTTAGGCAGAAGAAAAATGATGCCAAATGGAAACCGAACTCTAAGGAAAAGGGATGAAGAACACTAGGATGGCAATTACATTTATAAATGTATTTTTTATTTCTCATTATTTAGTTATCTTTAAAAAGATATAACTTATACGAAATAATGTGATAGGGTTTGTAAAATATTTAAGTAAGAACTGAAGAGATGGATCAGATGTTAAGAGCACCGGCTGCTCTTCTAGAGGTCATCAGTTCAATTCCCAGCACCCACATGGTGGCTCAAAACCATCTATAGTGAGATCTATATACACAGTAATAAATAAATCTTAAACAAACAAACAAAACATGTAAGTAAAATGTGCATCATGGATTATATACTAACAACCTATTTAAAAACAAACTACAATGTAACAGTGGCTGCAGAAATAAAAATGGCAACATAGTTATTTCAAGGTTCTCACACTATAAGAGAACTCATATCAATCAAAAACAGATTTTGATGAGTGAAAGATGTGTACTATTAAACTCTAAAACAGCAGGGAGAGAGAAGGAAGAAGAGAAAGGGAGAGGTGGCAGAGAAAGAAACAGAGATAGAAGAAAAAGAACACGTGGAGATAAAAATACTAAACCAACACAAAACGACAGGAAAGAAGCAAAAAGGATACAGAACAGTGAGGAAAACTACAAAGACACACTCAATTATATCGATCACATTCAATAGAAATGGTATACAAATTCTAATTAAAAGGTAGACAATGTCAGTCAGGTAGGACAAAATAAGACCCAACTATCTGTTTCCCACAAGATACACACTTTAAATGTAAGGAAGTTCAGAGTGAAAGGGAAACAAAGGTATACCAGGATACCAAGAATCAAAACAAAGCCGTGGTGCTGGAAGAGCTGGCTCATGAGATAGGAAGGCTTGCTGTTGCTAGTGCTTCATGGCTTTTTGTAACTAACTCTGCCTGATCCTAAGATCTTTTCTGGTCTCCATCAAAGTCCATGCTCAAACAGATACTCATATATTCATGTGTAATTAGAATTTCTGAAAAAGTCCAGTTATATTATGTGAATATGTTTTTGTTTTAATCCCAGGTATGGGATAGGGGGCTGCTAACTATGATTTGTCTTATGCTTTAAGAGGGGTGTGGTTTTGCCAGCTGCAGATACTTTCTGGGTGTGTGACTTTGGAATTCTGGGAACTTTTCAGAGAGGATAAATGCCAGAGCCCCTACTGGGGCCCGGATACTGGAAAAGAGGCTACTGCTTCCCCTATGTTGCTGTCGGCTGGTTGCAGTTTGTTGAGATTTATTAAGTGGTCACATGGACAAAGAAACAAAAAGAAATTGAATATCCTGATGGCCAAGGTCAAATCTGCACCAGGGAACCAACATGCCCCTTAATCAGCAGGGAGTAGTCAAAATAAATCTACCTCACCTTTCCCCTCTAGCTTTCTCTCCTACCTACTTTTGGGGATGGGAAGGGTAGTAGATAAAAGAACCCAATAAAGTAGCCCCCAAAAGCCCACCTACACACATGCACATAAAACCAAAAATAATTCTTTAAAAAACAATAGTAAGCTGGCTATATGAATGCCAGACAATAGATTCCAGGGCAAAATATATTACTAAAGATTAATAATATACAATAATAAATGGATCAAATACTCAATTCAGTATACTACTAAAGATGAATAATATACAATAATAAATGGATCAGATACTCAGTTCTACATTTTAAGTATATTGGATGTCCACTAAAAGGCATAGCATCCTGGCGTGGGGTACACACATATACTCTCCACTATGGAGGCAGGAGATAGAAGATAGCACTGGCTATATGGAAAGTTAGAAGGCTAGGGAAAAAGTTAGCTGGCCATTGTGCCTCCCACTGTAAACCAATCACTTAGGAGACTAAAGTGAGAGGATCACTTGAGTTCAAGGTTAATCCAGGCTACATACTGAATTTTAGGCTACCTTAGGTCACATAGTAAGACTGTAACAAAAACAAGTAAGGGGTGGGGGTTGGGAGAGATGAAGGGAGGGAAAGAGGGAGAGGGAGATAGAGATCCATCTTTCTGAAATAAATCGATATATATGGATAGAGATAGGTTTGTCTGGCAATGCAAAGGACTTTCAAACAACAGAGCAGCACTAAAACACTAAGAGCAACAGCCACAGTTACATTGCGCTGCAATCCATTTTGATGATTCTTCTGGTTAAATATTCTATACAAAGTTTAAAAATAAACAAAATTTTATTAATTTGACCGGAATTATTCATTGTATAACTTACATTAAACTATACTTCTGTATAACTAGTACCTTAAATTTTATCCACCAAGTTTATGCAGATGGTTAATGGTATGTAATCACGTAAGGAATGAGCTGTTAGGCCAGACAGATGGCTCAGCGGTAAGGTGCTCGCCACCAAGTCTGACAACCTGACCTGTACGCCTGGAACAGGCAGTGGAAGGAAAGAACTGACTCCAGTAAGTTGTCTTCTAACCTCCACACGGGCTCTCTGGCAGTCACAGGCACATATGTACACACCCACACCACCCCACAACACAAATAAATACTTGGAGAGGCTCAGTGTCATTTTAAAAACAATAAATTGTGATGTCTGCAAGTTCGGTCTTCAGTGTTCTGCAACAGTCCCATTATTCACTAACTGTTAACTAGATCCAGGCCACTGTATAATTGCTACACTACTCTCGCATACTCATTATCATTAGACTTCCAAGCAGGCGCATTCTCCACTTGATACTATTTATTACATAATACAGAGAACTGCAATTTTCAGGTTAAAGTATTTTTTCATCAGAATACACTTCCATTTTAATAGTCAAATAATACACATATACAATGCTAAATTTTGGGTGACATATTATTTGAAAATCATACTTTTATACACCAAATGACCTGAAATAGCAGTGAAATGATATACTGATGTGATACATATTTACAGTTCAAGAATTTGGGAGGACAAATTAAAAAGATCAGAATTACGACCAGCCTAGACTACATAGTGCGATCCTGTCTCAAACAAATAAAAAACTATACTACAAAAACACACTGTCTAATCCTTAAAAAAAAAAAAAATATTTTTTAAAAAGGATTAAAATAAAATAATAGGAATTTTTGAATTCTAGAAATGGTTTTCTCATATACCAGCTGAAGATGTAGTATTGCTTTCCATTATGTAGTCCCATGTAAGCATTTATGTGACAAAGGGGTAGCAACTGCTATACAGAGAAATCAATAGTATATTGTAAAGCTTAGAGCAGTGCACATAAACATGCTGCAGGAGACATTAACACTAGACTGAAATAAATAATTATATTTTCAATAAACACATGGCTACAGGATAATCGATCTCAAACATGCCCTCCCAGCTGTTTCACACAGCTCAGAAGAAAGGCAGCAGCTGTCTGTCCAAACTGAATGGCCTGACACCCTGTTACAAAGTAATAGGTATATATACTCCTGTCTCTGCAGCCATGTTTAGCTCAAGGTCATCGTGGGGTGATTAAGTCAAGAGAACTTTTAGTGTACTTTTGAGAAAGTAATTCTTAACCAATTATTTTTATGTCAGAGAGATTAACTCAAATTATATGCTGCCCTATTTCCAGATTTAAGAGATTTGCCACAATCAATGTTTCTGAAATAATAAATTAAAAGGTGTCATGCTAATTACTATTAGATAAATAGCAATTATGATTTTTTAGGCAAATAAACTCAAACTGTTAGCAGTGCATACTTATATTACTACTGTTTCACACAATGCTCATATCATTTATAATAAATTGCCAATAATGTTTGTAAAACGACTTCAAAATATCTAAAGAAATGGATTTAACAGCGCAGAAATCCATGTGACTGAGAAGTTATTTATAATATCATCAAGGCAGTAGACTTGAAGCTGGTAACACAAATTACATACCCATGAAGATTATATTTCTCTGTGTAATTATTAAAAGTGAATCAAGCCTATGCAAGAGACAGGCACACTGCCTGCAGGGTTAGGTAAAGGGTGTATCAGCTGACGGCTACCACTTGTCTGTGAGCGAGCACTTACCGCGATGTAGTAAACTCTGGCTTTTTCTACCAACATCCAGTTCTTCTCCAGATCAAGGTGCTTTTCCTTTTTATAACAATTGGCAGCAGCAAGGTTGGCAACAAGGGACCTAAAAACCCAAGAAAAAGGAAATACATGTGATTTATAAAAGATTAAAAACCTTGTCAGTTATTCTATACAGAAAGAAATTCTTCAAAAGCTGATATTCATGATGGTAAGACTGGGGTATGTGAGATGCCTTTAAGACAAGAGACACGCTAACAGCAGTACCTAAATTTCTAAGGCTGTACCTGAGTTTGTTTTTTTTTTTTTAACTCCCAAATACAGTCTGCTTTGTATATATTAATAGAATTCAAAATGCAGTTAAGAAACAGGCGACTAGGTCATTCTGAAATAGGAAATCTATATAAACCAAAATTTCATTTTTATGGTGGAAAATATCTTTAATATGACCTACAGACTATACTTGACGAATTTAATACTTTAAGAGCCCAATATGGGATTAATTTCATAAAACACATATAAAAATGTAGATCATATTTACTGTGAGGAATAAATTTGCAACTATTACCTTTTAAGGACTGGAATTAATTAGAATCAGTTTTTATAGCTGAAAACTCCTGTGCAATGTTGTTTTATAGCTGGAAAATTTAACAGGCATACTAGATGCAAAATCTGTCTATTAAGTGCTATTGAAATTGCTTACTTTTAAACCAACAATTCAATTTATTGAAATAAAAAAATTATACTTCAGATAAATAAATACATAAATACTTCTTCATTCAGACATAAGATTGGTTAAATTATTTGGCATTTTTTTTCTAGTTTTAAAAATTAAAACAGTAACAATCATGTTCTATAAAATAATGACTTCAGCGTTTGAGACTTGTGATGTTTAGTTACACTATCTGAAAGAAAAGTTTGTCTTCCAAAACAATTTTCCATTCATCCTTATTTTAATTTATTCCTCAATGATACATCTGTTTATATTGAATAAAAATAGGAAAATGAGAAATTTTAACAATACACTCAAATACAAATAATTTTAACACAAATATAAAAAGCACTATCGTTCTTTCATTTGGTGCTAGGGAATGAACCTGCTCCTAACATACAAACAACCTAATCACAACGCAGGAATTTTTCATTATAACACTTTCTTGCAAACTTTTATTTTAATCACAAAAATGTATTTGAGTTCTATGTTTTATTACCAGAAACTAGCTTAAAAAAAAAAGCCTACCAATCCTATCAGGTTTTAGGACTTATGTTATGAATTAGAGTGACCTGTCCCCTCCACCCCCCAAATTTAGAGTTCTCACATTTTTTTCTTAAATTCCAGACCAGGTCTCATGTACCCCGGGCTGAGTCTGAATGCACAGTGTAGCAGAGGATGGTAATGAACTTATGCTTCTTACCTCTAGGACTGTGAACACACATTACTATACCATGCTTACTCAGTGCTAGGATGGAAGCTGGGGATTGTACAACCCAGAGGGCCCTTTACAACCCTGCTCCATCCCCATCTTACCAACACGGGGCAGCAAAACCACAATACTGGTGGGCAAATTGAGTTTTTGACCTCCATGAGCCCTAATAATTTTTCTTTAAAATAGCAATTTAGTATATAAAGACAATTTAACAATTTTATTCTAGCCTTGTTATGTCAGAAGCAAAACTTGAACCATCTATTATTAATGGGAAACCCATACTTGAAGAAAAAATTTCTAGCTGGGGTGGTAGCACATTCCTGTAATCACAGTACTCAGGGAGGCAGAGGCGGGCGGATCTCTGTGAGTTCAAGACCAGCCTGGTCTACAAAGTGAGCCCAGGACAGCCAAAGCTACACAGAGAAACCCTGTCCCAAAAAAACAAAACAAAACAAAACAAAAAAATGGATAAAATTCCTTTTAGGAAAGCTCCAAGAGGCAAAGCTTGAAACAAGTACATCGAAATAGTGTATAGCTGAATCTACAGATACCTTGGTTTAATAATGAATAATTTAATTGAGACCTGAAAATGATCAAGTTTTCCTAATCTCTCTCTCACACACAAACACATGCACATGCATGCACGCACAAAATAAACAAGCAAACAAAATAAACATGTTTAGAAAAAGATCTGCAAATTACTTTGGTCCCCTAATTATTCTTGAAAGTTTTATGTTAGATATTTTATGACTACTGTCCACACTGATCCTCAGCACCCAGATTTGTGTAAGGTCCTAATATGATCCTGTTGGAGGTATGCTGGAAGCCAAAACAAGGAAGGTGAGACAGGGAATTGTCCTAATTTTCTTTCTATTTGTGGGGTAAACACCACACCAAGAAAAACTTGTGGCAAAATGGGTTTATGTGGCTTACACTCCCAGGTCACCATCCATCACCTAGGGAAGAGAGGGCAGGAACACAGCAGCAGGAACTAAAACAGATGATGGAGGAACACTGTTGACTAGATCGCTTCCCCAGGTTTGGTCTCAGAAAGCTCAGGACCAGCTGCCTAGGGCGGAACTGCCAGTAGTGGGCTGTGTCCTCCCAAATCAATCATTAGTTGAGAAAATGCACCACGGAAGCCCTATAAGTTAATCTGAGGGAAGTATTTTCTCAGTTGAAGTTCCTTTCTTACCAAATGACTCTATCTATGTCAAACTGAGCTTGTTTGGAGGTTCTAGCAGGGAAGTGCAGCTACTCGTTTACCTTTGGCTGGAAACCTGTCCTTGTCTATTCAGAAAAGCTCCTCCTCTTCGACCAAGCATGCAACTTCAGGAGGGACACACATGGAGCAGGGAGGGAGGAAGGGGACACAGCCTAGCCAGCCAGATCAGCCCAATCAACCCTGGCAAACAATGGGATGACAGATGTCGCAGCCAGATCGCCTTCACATCATCTTATGTCAAACTGAAAAACCTTACCAGCAGGATGGATCAGTATAAAAAAACAGCACAAAAAAATGGCGGACAAATTACATATTTATAAGTATAGAGGACCCAGCCAGACCTGGGACACCTATAAATTTGACACTGTGGAAGGCAGAAGTATAAGGATAGACACAAGTTTGAATTTGGTTTGGCCTATATAGCAAATTCCAGGACAGGACAGCCAGGGCTGTACCTCCAGACCCTGTCCCAAAAATCAAACCAGCCAAACCAAGTACGAAGAATGAAAGTTTTGTAGGGGATCAAAATTTAAGGTAGGTAATTCTGAGGATTATAATAAAGCAGCAAAGACAGGGGTTTTGATTTTCCATACAGAGGAGAAAGGTGGCTCCACGGCTTTGGTGCTAATGTTAGCAATGTACCTGTACACACAGGACAATAGCTGACGCATGAAAGGCCATGAGAACTTTCTACTAAGGAAAGCTTGTAGGCAGAAGGGCTGACTAACAACACCGCTCGCCATCTCAATCATATTTCTGCTTTGTGGCCAAGGCTGGGGAACTTACCCACTAGGAACCAGGCACAAATGAATGGGAGCATATTTGGATTTTTCTGCTCCATACCCAAGACTTAGGCAATGAAAAGGGTTTGAAAGAAGCTCAGTGCAAGATATAAAACGAAGAGTCCATTTTAGTCCTTTCCGTGTCTGCCTGGAAAAGGGACTGCAGGTAGCCCTCATCTGTGGCATGTACCATCTAGGCCTCTCTGACTTGTTTTAATATAGCATATTTCACTGTGAAAATGTTATAGTTAGTCACCTGACAGCCCCGGGACCTACTCTGGTTGTTTGACCCCTGTCTCTTTCCCTGAGTGTCTTTTGTTTTTTTCTTGATTTAAAGAATAGTAGCACGAATGACCCTCTACTGTTGAGTAACCCCAGGGGCTCATGTTACAGTAGTGTGATGCCACTCGCTATCTGAACAATAAAAGGACTTCTAAAATACAATTTGAAAAAAGTATTTGTGTTTCCCTCCACCACCACTCTCATCTCCACATGCAGGGTTTATTATATAACTTATCCTGGATATCAAACTTGTGATTCTCCTGCCTCCTCAGTGTAGCAACTCCACAGGCAAGAGCCATGACACTTGGCTGGGTTGGAGACTGCTCGGTGCATTAGAAGACTGGTGTTGTTTAACATCGGTGGAAGCTCTGTGGCACACACGCTTCTTAAAACAGATTCTGATACTCTGCTATCAGGGCACAGTGACAAGATCATTCTTGAGAGTTCAGTAAATTACATGACGTAAAAAATTATTTTCTTTTCCTAAGCCTAATTATACAAGGTGGAAACTAGATTAGATAATCTCAAACTTTCACTGCAATATGCCTTATGAATTTAAAAGCAGGTCTAACTAAAATAAACAAAGAACACAAAAGGTGGGCACCTGTGAGATGGTCCAGTAGTTAAAGGAGCTTGCCTGATGATGTTAACGTGAAGACCTGCTTCAATTCTGGGACGCCACATAAACGCAGTAGGAGAGAGCTTCACCAGCTGTCTACTGGTGTCACAATGTGTGCCATGGTACGCACACATACCATACAAACATATCCTCACAATACATAAATAAATAATGAAATCTTACTCAAAAAACAGAAACAACAAAAAAGGTAGTTGGCCTGAAGGCTCACTCCTGTAATCCCAATCCTTGGAAGGTAATGGTGGAAAAACTTAAGAGTCTGTGGATGATCTGGCCTACAGTGTAGGATGTTGTCTCAAATGAACTGAAAATAAAACCAAACAAAATAACTACATCTTACCCCAGTGACAATGGCTAAGATTAAAAAACAAACAAACAAAGAATAAACAACAAGAAATGAAGGTATGGTTGTGGGGAAAGCAGAGTACTTACTGTTGGGAGTACAAAATGGTGCAGGTACTACGGAAATCAGTGTGGAGGCTCATCAAAGACCACATGATCCACCTATACCACTCACAGACATACCCTAAGATTCCATATCCTGTTACAGAGATATGTGCTTATCCATGATCACTACTGATCTATTCACAATAGGCAATAAGTAGAAACAGCTTAGTGTCCATCACCTGATTAGCGGATAATGAAAATGTGTTAGGTTTTTCAGATGTTAAAGAAAAATAAAAATTATGAAATTTCTGGGTAAAGAATGGAGTTGGAAATAATCATTCTGAGTGACATTAATGGAAAAGCAAGAGTTAAATAGGATGGAAGGTGGGAGAGCTTAGCGGAGGACGGAGTTACAGGGATTGAAAATCGATATTAAAAACCTTAGAAAAAGCCATATGTAAGTTCCTGAAATATGTATACATATAAAAAGTTTAAATAGAATTATCTCACGTCTCCAAAGGCATAAAAATCATCAAGGAAAAGGGGGTGGAAAGATTTTAAGAGCCAGAGGTAGCAGATGTCAGATCAAATCAGCCACAATTCAAAAATGAGTTAGGGAGCAGCTCATAAAGTCTCAGCCTTAGCTGAAAAGCTATTGGCAACTGATAGCTGTTTGGGGAAGAAAAGCCAGTTTTCTTCACAATATGGTCTCTGATATCCATGCCGGAGTAGCTAGCCATTCAATGCACATCCAGGCAGGACTAAGTGGTTTTAATGACCTTACAAACACACGAGCTTGAGAGAAATCTCAACAGTTAAGAGGACTTGCTGCTCTAGAGGACCTAGGGTTCAGCTCCTAGCACACACAGTTCACAAGCAGCTGTAATTCCAGTTTCACGGGATCTGACACCCTCTTCTGATTTAATATGGTACCATATATGCATGCAAGTAAAACACTCACACATAAATTTTTTAAAAAATGCATAAATTTAAGAAACTGCCTGTAAGGTTTCACCTGCATCTGTAACAATAACAAAGAAAGCATGTGAAGTTTAGAGGTAGAAATTGTGTGTGTGTTCAGGGGGGAGTAGAATCGGGGAGGAGACAGAAAGGAATAAGGGGAATGAATTTTATAAAACACATTATATACATGTATGAAATTCTTAAAAAGTAAAAGAATTAAACATAGTAAGGTAAAAATGACACAAAGAAGGCTTTATTAAGCACGAAGACGGTCACTGAGGGCTCACGAGCACTTCCACAGCGCTGAGGTGAGGGTCTCAGCTTGATAATGACTTGCCTGTTGCCGCCAGTGATGCACGCAGCACACGTTCCCGTCGGCTGCTCACTCTGCTCGTAGTAATGAGCGTCCACATGTGCTTCAGCAGCCTTAGTCTTCAGGATCTCCCCAAATTTATCTGTCCCAATGCATCCAAAGAATGTTGCTGCTTTGTGTGGCTCCTGAATCATCCACTGAAGAGGAAGAACATAAATGAATGGGTCAGAAACAGAATAGATAATTCAGGACTCTGCCAAAGATGCAGGCATGAAAGGCACGCTTTGTGATGACGAGGAATGGAACTTAAACACTGCACTACTGCTTAGGATAACAACCTTGACAAAACAGCCACACCCCTTACTCTACTGCTCGAGGTGCAGATACACTGTGGAGCACTTCAGTGCATTAAACATAGAGCAGTTCTTCAGAGCCCAGAAGAAAAAGTTATACAGACTTTAATCCAATGCTGAGTATTTATAGGAAGATCAATGTTAAGTGCCAATAAAATGAACTAGCATAGCATTTTCATGGCAAAGTAAAGAATCCATTTTGAAGACTGTGTTCAGATACCATGTTTGCCCCTGACTAGCTGTAGTTCTATAACTGTGATATTAATAACATGCCACTTGATCTTTCAACCTTCTTTTCTATTCTACCATATTCCCCTTAAAGTATTTTTGTTGTTAGACATGTCACACATGGCAGTCCGGGCTGGCTGCGATGGACTTCAGAACTCAGGCTAAACTAAAATTCAAAGCTGTGCTCCTGTCTCAGCCTCTTTAATTCTGGGATTATAAAGGTATGAACCACCATCTTGGCATCACCTTTCTACAGTTTATTTTTCTCATTTATAAAATGGAGAAATGATAAAAACATGCTTCATAAGGTAGCTGAAGATTAACTGAAATAATATAGGTTAATATATATGCAAAGCTGAGCATAGTACCCAAGATACAATAGGCAATAGTTATCAGTTGTGGTAATCAATATTTTTATACTTCTTGAAATAATTTATAAATAAATTATGCTAGAACATGTTCATGCTTAATGCCATTAAAAATGATGGGTGAGCACTGTGGTGCAAGCCTGAAATTCGAACACTTGGGAGATGGAGGCATGAGAATCAGGAGTTAAATTTCCAGCCTTGGCTAGTTTGCAAATTTTCAAACTGCTTAGCTTCTAGGAGACTGTCTTAAGACTTAACTTCCTCTCTAGAAAAGAAAGACAAGTGTTCAATTCTGAATGGATGGTGGATTCTGAGCCCTCATCATAGGAAGTAGATGGCAATTAATTAAAACAAGGCACACACACACACAAAAATAAGTTACTGTGAAATGCACATCTCAAAAATGAGACATCATATTCCTTATCCCACAGCTCAAGTTTCATCCAGAAAGAGGAGGCAGTGAATGTCTGAGGTGAAACAGTATTTACATATGGCAGGGCTATTGCACACAAACACTCACTGTGGCTGCTACTGAGTGAATAAGACCTGCAGGAGCTGAACACTGCCAAAATCACAGTAGTGATGAGGGAGGGGCTTATGAAGCCCCACTCCTATTTGAAGAGCCACTTGCAACTGATTACTGCTGAAGGTGAGAAAGTCAGCTGTCTTCAGGGGTGAGCTCTGAGAGACTACCCATACTCTAGTAGATGGTCCTACATTCATGCACATACAGACAAAAGAGGAGGAAAGCACACGAAATAAGAGCAAAAAGCAATAGGGAGGTAAGTAGATAGGTAGGGAAGGAACTGGGGGAGGATTTGAGGTAAAAACATTATATGCATGTATGAATATCAAAATTGTGTGAAGCTAGAAGTGTTACAATTCTAAGTACAAATATCTCATCATGTCATTAAAGCGATTCTTATGAACTTTGAAATTTTTGTTGTAAATGATTCATAATGGATTTCTTTTAATACGGATGCCTTTCATTGATTTGAACTCTTTAAATTAGCTCAACTCCCTGAGGCTTTTCATAACTTATTAGTGATTCTAAAAAGACCATCTCTTTTTGTTTCAAATATAGTTGCTAGAATTCTCTGTATACCAAGTTAAAAAAAAAAAAGCAAAAAGAAAGCAGCAACAGAGGGGCCTGGAGGGCTTAGTAGTTAAGAGTGTTTGCTGAGGGCCCATGCTCAATTCCCAGTGTGCACACTGCAGCTCACAACTGCCGTAACTTAGTTCCAATGTACCCACTGCCTTCTTTTGACCTCCATGGATACTATACGCTTGTGCTACACAGAAACACATGCAGGCAAGGCGCTCACACACATAAGATACAAATAAATAATAAACAAAACATGAACACATATTTTAATAAATATATTTTCAAATATATTTGAAAATTGTTGGTTATGTATACAAACAGATAATTATATAAATACTAAATATATTTCTATATTTATACATATACAAATATGTGTGTGTACACATACATATGCCTGCATTTGAGAGATAACGGAATGAGGAGATAAATAAAACAGTAACAGAAAACTGCTGAAGTGACATATAGTAACTGCCTGATGAGGAGTCCTATTTAAGATCAACATAAAATCCTACAGGTGCAAATATTTATTTATTTTACTTACAATGAAATAATGTACAAGCAATGAAGTCTATGCATGGAAGACTTGCTGAATAAAATGGATGAACCTGTTTAATAGAAACCCATACTCACACACAAAACAAGGAAAAGGCTTAGAGAACAATCCATCTACATAATTCTTGCACTTGAGAGGGAGAGACAAGAGGTTGGAGAGTTGGAGGCTGTCTTGGGAATGAGTTCAAAGTAAGTCCAGTCTGAACTTCACAAGGAAACCTCCTCTTCAGAATTAAGGGATGCTTAGTGGTAAAGCTTGCACGGCCAGTATAAGGTCAAAGTTTTCAAACTCCAACACAGCAACATACAACAAACAACATATCCCATAACAAAAGCACCAACAGTAAAAGAAACAAAGGGATCCATGTGTGTTGACCACGCTCTAGGAAATCTTGTGAAGCTAGAAAATTTTTAAAAGAGAAAACATCTTGAGAAAGGTTCCAGACACTGAATTTGTCAACATTTTCTATGGAATTAAGACAATTAAAAAAAAAAAAAGGAAACCATGAGATTTGCAGGCAAGTGGATGAAACTAGAAAAGATCATCCTGAGCCAGGTTACCCAGAAGCAGAAAGACACACATGGTATACTTACTTATAAGTGGGTATTAGCCTTATAATACAGGATAAACATACTAAAATCTATAGTTTTAAAGAACCTAAACAACAAGGTGCTTAATCCTCATTCAGAAGGGCAAACAGGAATGGGAGAAGACAGGGAACAGGACAGGAGCCGAGCACAGAGGGCCTCTGAAAGAATCTACCCAACAGGGTATTGAAGCAGAGCTTAGACTCACAGTCAAACTTTGGACAACGTGCAGGGAATCTTATGAAAGAAGGGGGAGACAGAAAGACCTGGAGCAGACAGGAGCTCCACAAGGAAACCAACAGAGCCAAAAAAAAAATCTGGGCCCAGGAGGGCCTGCAGAGACTAACCAACGACTGTTCTTAACCCCCTGCCCAGATGTAGCCCAAGGCAGCTCAGTCTCTAGTAGGTTCCCTAGTAAGGGTAGCAAGTGCTGACTCTGACATGGACTCAGTGGCTGGCTCTTTGATCACCTCCCCTTTGGGGGTACAATCTTATCAGGCCACAGAGAAAGACAATGTAGTCAGTCCTATGAGACCTGATAGGCTAGGGTCAGATAGGAGGGGAGGAGAACCTCCCGTATCAGTGGGCTAGAGGATGGGCATAAGGAGAGAAGAGGGAGAGAGAGGTGGGCCTGGGAGGAGATGAGGGAAGGGTCTATAGCTGGGATACAAAATGAATAAATTGTAATAAATAATAAACAAATAAAAATTTTAGAAAATTACCCCTAAAAAAAAAGATTAAAAAAAAACAAATAAAGCAAAAGTAAGTAACTATGACTCCAAGAAACAAGACCTGCTGAACAGCAAAAGGAATGATCAAAAAAGTTAAAGGGCAATTATATATTTGATGAGATTAGTATTCAGAATACCTAAAACATGTCTATAGCACCACAATGAAAACAATACCTGAATGAAAATATGGGCAAAGGCATTGAACAGGTGTTTCTAATTACCCAAATGGCCAATAAGCAAATGAACATGCGCAACAGCACTAACCATCTGGAAAATAAAAAAATCAAAAGCATAATTAGCTGTTATTTAATGCTGAGCATGAATGACACTATGAAAAGAATAGACAATAAGAAGTATTGGTGAGAAGGTGGAGAAATCACCCTTGAGCTGTGGACAACTAAAAAAACACCATGAAGATTCAAGCACAGGAGTCTCAGATGCTGGATAAGAAGGAAGCAGTGCTTCTGACAGAGAGGACTCTGGAGGGGCCCATATGCACTACTGCGAGGCAAGTTTCTGACGATTCAGGAACAAGAAGCCAACAGGAGCCTGGCACCAACAGGAGCCTGGCACTGCCACTGAAATCAGTGCACACCAATAAGTACTGAAAGAAATGCAGAGGAACACATTGTGAAAATTACTTCAAAGCTAAAATTTCTAATGGCTCTTAAAATTCTAGCTACATGTAACCTGGGCATCGTTCAGCAATATACAAAATAATAAGGAATCTACATAAATATTCTCAAAAAAAATGGAAGTAAGCATGGTTGTACATGTTTGTAATCCTACCATTTGAAGCAGAGGCAGGAAGGTCTGGAGTCTAAGGTCATCTGTGGTTGCATAGTGATTCTTGGTAGCATGCAGTTTCTAAAGTTTCTAAAGGTGCTAGAGTAGAATTTCTCCACCTCTCACAGGGGCCGCATATCAGATACTTACATTATAATTTATAACAGTAGCAAAAGTACAGTTATGATGTAGCAATGAAAATAAGTTTATGGATGGGGTCACCACAACATGAGGAACTGTATTAAAAGGCTTCAGCGTTAGGAAGGTTGAGAACCGCCTTTGTAGAGGATAGAGAATGGAGAAGGTGAATTTCTCCAACTATGTAGCTGTCGGGAGGTTGCCATTTATGCCAAATGGGACTTTTCAGTGACAATTCCAGAAGTAACCCTTAACCATGTTCCTGGAAGCCTGATACACTCTTTGGTTTGTATTCTGATGGACTCATTAGTTTGATCTGTTATTGGGGTCCTTTATAGAGTGAATTGA